GGCGCCCTACCCACTGATCCACAGGGGCCACCCAATGTTGGTTTTCTTCTGATCAGGATTTTTTAGTGTTTCAGCTCTTGGATAAACATATTTTCCTAAACATTATTGACTTGGCAGTCTTCAGCAAACTCACCAGTTTCTGGTTAGTCATCCCAGCCCCTTGTTCCTGGGTATGCCCCTTAGCTTCCAGTTAAGCATCCATTGCTAGTCAACATGGTAACCTGAGCTAAAAGCAGAAGTTTAAGGACCAGGGCCCAACTGGTTCTTGGTGAGGGACTCAGAATCTAGAAGGTCTGGAAAGTCATGACCCATAATACTACTTTGAGGTAATAAGTTCTTGACTGAGGTAGTAACTGGGTTTGGGTTAGGGACAAAGAAAAATTTGGTCCAGGCTCAAGACATTCAAGGAAAGGTCTGACTTGACTGACCTGGGTGGGGCTGGGAATCAGGCCAGAGATGGGGAGGCAAGAAAGGGAGACGAGGGGTAGGGGTCAGAGGCTGAAGCTGTAGGGACCAACTTGGCTCCCCGTTTAGGGCACTATTGAGACAGAATATAACCTCAGGGTCCAGCCTCTGGGCTCTCTGCTTTCCATGAGTAAGGAAGCAAGTATGTGATTTCCCTCCACCCTTTCCACAGGCCACTGGGGGCCTAGCAGCTCCAGCACCTCCCCTATCATGTAACAGGCCCAGAAGTGCCTCTCAATGCCTGCTGTTGCCAGAACAGTTTCCCCATTTGTACCAAGCACACAGTCAGAAGGGGGTCCTCAGACATAGAAACTATGGGCTTCCTTCCCAGAACTGCAGAGGAGTCCATCTGCCCTGTGTGTAGGAGGGAAAGAGAAGAGCATCAGCCCCAGAGAGGAGGGAGAGGGAGTGGGAGTCAGGGCTGTGGGGGTGAGCAGCACACGCAGCTGTGTGTCCTGGCTGCCTAGTTGCTGGGAACTGCTGTCCAAGGACACAGCATCCCTGTTTAACTGGAATCCTGGAATGGACTCCAGCATGATTTGGTCTTCTGGACTGATACAGCCACAGACAGGAAGGAAAGGCGGGCACTTGAGCTAGGTGTCTGTAGCATCTAGAACTGTGCCTGGCACACAGTAGGTCCATGACAATAAAGGAATGAATGAGTGCTTTCATACATAAGCATGATCTCATTCAATCTGCAAAGTGAGGCATAGGAAGGACAGGTGTTGCTTTATTTAACAATGGGAGAACTGAGATTAAAAGAGTTAAGTGACTTGACTAAGATCATTCAACTTGCTTGTGGCAAACTCAAGGCTAGACACTGTGATCTTTCTATAGCACCATTCTTTGTATAGCAACCCAGGAATATATCCTATGACTCTATGGGAATTTCCCTTTGGATCTAGCTGGTCAGAAAATCTTTCTTCTGGGGCCCAGTTTCCTGGGCACAGTGTCAGGGCCAGGTTCAGATACCCTGCCCCGCCCCACACAGCTGGCATCTGCCTGCCCTTTTATGAGCAGCTCCTGGAAAGGCAGCCTCTCCATCAATCTCTGTTGCCACATCTGACTCAGGAGGTCTGGACTCCTGAGACACAGAAGCAGGGGGTGGGTGTCTTCAATCTCATAGTCAGGAAAAAAATGAAATCATACACATTCAGTTCCTTATTATTTTACCCTCAATACAAATTTCAAGATAGCCTAGGCCACAAAGTCAATTCATGGAATTCAGGCAAGCACCTAACATGCATTACAGGGAAGGCATCTTAGGAGCTCAGAACCCGTAGTTCAAGTAGTATTTCTAGAAGGTCTCCAAAGTTTGTAGGAGGGATGTCCTGAGCGAGCTGGAATATCTTGTATCACCTGGCCCTTCTCTTCACAGCATTCTCTCTCTTCATGGAGAGGTATACAGCATAGGAACAAGGATCAGAAGACTTGGGTTCTAGTGCTGGCTTTGTCACTCATCTCTCCACCTCATTTTCCTCATTCGTAAAAGTGAAAACAATCCCAGTCTAAGTTTCAAGGCAGTTATGAGTTCAAAGAGGAATGGTCTACAACAAAGTACCTTTAAGCACAAGCAAGCAAAAAAAAAAAAAAAAAAAAAGTGAGAGAGAGACAGAGGAGGGAACTTTCCAAGGTACTCCAAACCTCTGTTCCTACTCATTCACTGATTCAATCACAATAAACCTCCTACATGAACAAGGCATGTACCAGGTGCTGAGGGAGAGACAAAGATAATTAAGTTGTGATCTTTGCCTTCAAGGAACTGAAAATGTAGCACAGGCTTTGCACCAGAAGATGGTCGCAGAGATTTCAGAGAGCATCAAAGATCAGCAAGCAAAATAAGGAAGTTCTGTGGAGAGCTGGAGGAGGTGGGTGAAGAGGTGGCAGGAGGGAGGCAGGGGGAGCAGGGGTGTCATGCATAACGGTCTGGTCTCCTGGCCTCTTTGTCCAGGAGGAAATGAAGTCATCCTGCTCTCAGAATCAGCATGACAGCCTCCAGCCAAGTAATCCGGAGTCATGAGAGCTGCTCGGGGAGCAATGTGAATCATGACAGCCTCTGGGAATTTCCTGATAACTAACCTAGGAGTTTCGGGGTAAGTCCTCAGGCTGCAACATCTCTGTTTACATTTTGATCACGTTTATTTACAATTAATGGGTTCTCAAGTCCAAACAAAACTGGCCGCAGTGTTCTAGAGGAAGTAGCAAGACCAGCTCTGAGACCTATAGCACCTCTGACTCAGTCTGTGCCCTGGGAGGCTGGTGGGTCAGCAGGCACAGAACAACTCTTCAGAGGATGATGGGTCACTCTTCCCCAGAGCTGGATGGTTAACTTGCACTTTCCCCAGCCAGAGGCTGGCACCCTGAGACCTCTGGCTGGGGTGGAGCAAAGGGGCCTTCCTCCCTCCTACCCTTTCGTGCTCCCCCTGCCTTCCTTCAGCCCCTCTCAAGTGGACTCAGACCAAAGGCCCAGGTTTGCAAGGCAGCAAAATGCTGCAGGCCTAAGTAGGGAAAGGAACCAAACCTTGGGGCTTCTAATGAATTACTGGAACTCAGCCTCCTCCCTCCTGTTAAGGGAGGCAGTTCTAGGTGGCATTGAAGTGACCTGCAAGCCCTGGTTCCTGATACTAGCGGAAAGAGATGGGGATGACTGAACCACAGAGTGCCTACTGTGCTTCTGCAATTTTACCCATCGTGTGTGTGTGTGTGTGTGTGTGTGTGTGTGTATGTGCTCATCCTCAAGCAGAAAGGGTAGATGCCATCACTTACAAATGGCCTGTCTTTCTGGAGGCCAATTTTATTTGATGAATAATTGTTTATTTATTTATTTTATTTTCTGCAGTTTTTGGCCAGGGCTGGGTTTGAACCCGCCACCTCTGGAATATGGGGCCAGTGCCCTACTCTTTTGAGCCACAGGCGCTGCCCCATTTGTTTTTTTATCTTAATAGAAACAAGGCTGTATGATGAAGTAGAATACTAAATATATATGCATTTAAAAATGAGTGATTATTTTTTGGACTGTGTTTTAAAAATGTAAGCAATGTAACAGGACGTGCAGTGAAAAAGATATTTTCCTCTTATCTCGTCCTCCAGTCTCCGCCCCTCAGAGGTGAAAACAGAACTTCCTACCTTTCCAGTTTACTGTCTACATGAATAAGTCTTTACTACTCCATTGTCTTTATTAATTAACTTTATTCTTGCCCGGGCAAATATATGGACTATTTATTACAGGGATTTCCCAAGACCCACCAACATGTCGTGAGAAGCATCATTAGTTTGTCCCCTAGGTAGCCGGGCATTGTGGTGGGCACCTGTAGTCCCAGCTACTGAGAGGCTGAGGCAAGAGGATTGCTTAATCCCAGGAGTTTGAGATTGCTGTGAGCTATGATGCCGTAGCACTCTACTGAGGGTGACATAGTAAGACTTTGTCTCAAAAAAAAAAAAAGTTTGTCCCCTAGGACTTCATTCCTATGATCCTACAGTATCATATTATGACCCTATTCGATGCTTATCAATCCCCCACTTTCAAAGACTTACTTTAAACCAAACTGCAAATTCTAGTTTGTTTGGGTTTTTTTGAGACAGGGTTTCACTATGTCGCCCTGGGTAGAGTGTCATGGCGTCACAGCTCACAGCAACCTCCAGCTCTTGGGCTTAAGCGATTCTCTTGCCTCAGTCTCCCAAGTAGCTGGGACTACAGGTGCCTGCCACAAACCGCAAATTATTAATAAACCCGTCCTTGCCTCTCTCTATCTGATAACACAACCAAACTCCCTTATGCCGAAAACTCAGCTTTGGGGGCGGCGCCTGTGGCTCAAAGGAGTAGGGGGCCAGCCCCATATAGCAGAGGTGGCAGGTTCAAACCCAGCCCCGGCCAAAAAAAAAAACAACAAAACAAAACAACAACAAAACCTCAGCTTTATCTCACTCACTGGTTGTGCTGGTGCTGTTTAAGTGACCTGGCATTAGACAAGAGGCAGCCCCCTCAAAAACACAGGCTTTTGAGTCTGTGTTTCAGGGAACGTCACATTTTCTTCTACAGTTTTCACCTTGATAAAGCGACTTTACAGGCACACGAGCTGCGGACTCTGCCCCCGTACCCAGGAGTCTGGATCACTCTTGGCAGGTACGAGGTTGGAGAACTGAAGAGGGGATCCCCAAGGAGGTCCTGATCAGAGCTGGGCTGGGAAGGGAGTCTCCAAGCGCCCTCTCTCTCTTCTCTGCAATTCGTGGGGGATGGAGGATCCCCTGCACTGGCGTGGCCCCACGGCGGGCACATGGTACGAGGGGCAGAGAATTTACATGCCTCTCGATCCAGACTCCGTTCGTCCCCTCGGCTGGGGATCGCACTGCCTCCCCCAACTTTGTCAAAGTTGCGGAAGCACGCGGGGTCCAGGTCACTGCGGGCGGCTGGGAAGGGAAGCGAAGGGAGTGGAGCGGGCGCTGGGGCGGGGGCGGGGCCCGGCTGGGCGGGTTCTAATATAGAGCGCGCGCGGCTGGCGGGCGGCTCAGCGCGGACACCGGAGCCCCAGAGCCGGTCCTAGTGTCGCCCAGTCCCCGCAGAGCCGGCCCGCGCCCTCCTGCCGCAGCCGCTGGTGAGTGCCGGCGGTCCTGAGAGCCCGGCGGGATGCGCGGCGGCGGCTCTCGGGCTCCTCTCTCCCCCACCACGGGCCTCAGAGGCCGCGCGGCGGCTGCCCGCAGTCACCGCTCCCCTTCCGTGCGTGCCCCTGCGGGTAGCGCCTGGAGCCCCGAGCCCCCTTGCGGAGGGACTGCAGGGCTGGGGAGGCTGGTCAGCTCCGGCTGGCCCGGCAGGGCGCCTACGGGCTCCTCCCCTGAACTGCAGAAACCCACCCTACCCGCCTCCTCGCTCCTCACCCTGACTTCTCCTTCCCTTGCAGAGCCGCTGTCTAGAGCCCCAACCTCGCCACCATGAGAGTCCCGCTGGCCTTTCTGCTCCTCTGCGTCCTGGTTGTGAGCGACTCTAAAGTGAGTGGCTTCCTGTCTGCCTTATGCTCGTGGGAGGGGGCTTGCAGGACCTCGGAACCGCGCCAGGGAGGGAAGGGGCTGCATAGGAACTTGGAGTCCTCCAGATTCTCCGGGGGTGGGGGGTGGGGGTGGGGTAGGACAGGTGTGGCAGTGGGTTGCACTCCAGGCAAGGGAATGAGAAGCTGCAGGGAGTGCTTCAGCCTCAGGGCAGCTAGTATGGGAAGCTTGCTTGAGTCAATTCATTTCTCCTTGCTGGAAACCCGTGATCTTCCATTTGAGGGTTAGTTAGATATGCATAAACAGGGTGAGGAGAGAGGGAGCTGGAACGAAGAGTGGGTTTGGGAACTGGGGCCATTTTATTATCTTCACCCCTGAGTGCCAGGAGCATGAGTCCTTTGGTGACCCGCCTGCCCCAATCTCTTCCAGGGCAGCCATGACCTTCGTGGAGAGTCTGATGCATGTGAGTATCCGCCCCTTGCACCATAGTTGGCTGCACAAACATCTTGGAAAAGCTTTGGGGAAGAAATCCCCCCCCCCCAGGGGTGGCTCCTCTCCCCATCCCCAGCTCCTTGCTTACCCCACCTTTGTGCTTTCCAGCCAACTGTGGCTGTCTGAATGGAGGAACATGTGTGACCTACAAGCACTTCTCCAACATTCGCCGATGCATCTGCCCGAAGAAATTCCAAGGGGAGCACTGTGAGATAGGTATGGAGATCCTGACTCTGATGGGGAAAGTGGAGGTGCCAGAGATTTAGGGCTGGAGAGATGCATGGGATGCAAGAGCAGCAGGAATTAGGAGCTGGAGGTGGGAGAGGTGACATCGTCGTCCCTACGTGATGTACACCGTCAAAGATAAAAACATGTTCACTATTTCGTGAAGCAGTGGTTGCACATATGTGAGATGGGATGGAAGGAGACCCTTTCCAGTGTCCTCCGCCAGGTCTGAAGTCATGCTCTCTGTAAAATGCCTGTCTGAACTTTCTTCTCTTTCTAATTCTCTTCTATATTCTCTCATTCTAATGTCCTTCCATAGATACAGCAAAAACCTGCTATGAGGGGAATGGTCACTCTTACCGAGGAAAGGCCAACACTGATGTCATGGGCCGGTCCTGCCTGGCCTGGAACTCTGCCACTGTCCTTCTGAAAACATACCATGCCCACAGGCCTGATGCCCTTCAGCTGGGCCTGGGGAAACACAATTACTGCAGGTGAGGTGGGGGCGCAAGGACCAAGAACCCTCTCCATACCTCACAAAAACCCTGTTACCATCCCCTTCTGCTCCCAGAGAGCTGGATATAGCATGAGAAAAGCAAAGCCTCTGGTGAATCATCCCTGGAAGGGAGGATGCAGGGAAGGCCTTCCGGGCTGGAATGACATTCCCTACCCCTCTGTGTTGCCAGGAACCCAGACAACCAGAGACGGCCCTGGTGTTATGTGCAGGTTGGCCTAAAGCAGGTCATCCAAGAGTGCATGGTGTCTGACTGCTCTGGTGAGTGTCACTAACCTGGCTGGGACAGTAGAGTGGAAGGGACAAACTCATGTGTCCCCTTATTCTAGCACAGGAGGGATAAGGAGGGATGAGGAGGGATGCTGCCTGAGAGGGATGCTTTATCCTACCTGCCTCTCCAAGACACTCTTTTCTTTTTATCCTCCAGGTAAAAGGCCCTTCCCTTCGGAAAAATCAGAGTTTCAGTGTGGCCAGAAGGCTCTGAGGCCCCGCTTTAAGATTGTCGGGGGAGAATTCACCACCATTGAGAACCAGCCCTGGTTTGCAGCCATCTACAAGAGGAACCGGGGAGGCTCTGTCTCCTACGTGTGTGGGGGCAGCCTCATCAGTCCTTGCTGGGTGGTTAGCGCCACACACTGCTTCATGTACGTTCTTTTGTCTCTTCTCTCTGTCCCTCCTGCCCCATCCCTTTCTCCTCCCCAGCAAAGGATTCCATCTCAATTCTCCTTCATCAGCCCCTCTCCCATGTGTCCCATGACTTGGGGACAAATCATGCTTTGAGGCTTCTAAACTGGGGAGGAGGAGGTGACAGAATTCCGTGAGAACGGGCTGTCTGATGGGTCTCACCTCCCACAGTAATTACCCACAGAAGGATGACTACATCGTCTACCTGGGTCGGTCAAGACTTAACTCCATTACGCCTGGGGAGATGAAGTTTGAGGTGGAACAGCTCATCCTGCACGAGGGCTATAGCGCTGAGACACTTGCTCACCATAACGATATTGGTGAGTGGGAAACCCTGACCACCGCCATGATGGCTTGAGGAAAGAGGAGACCAAGGGGAGACCCAAAAAGAGTTTGAAGCTGTTGGGAAACTTGAAGTCCCTGCTTTATGCAGCAGGGGGAGTGGCAGGGAAGAGTTTCTAGTGTAATACATGAGGGGCCTGGTGCTTCTCTGTAGAGACCTTGAATATGGCAAACAGGTAGCCTCTTCCGAGTGGAAACAGCCCTGTGGGTGTATGCCTTTGACTGGGAAGGCCTCATTTATGTGAATTAGAAGACAGTCCTTATGTTGGAGGCAGCCCCTGTCAGTACCAGGATATAGAACTTGGAGAAGAGAGGCATGGGCTGCATTTCAGCCCAGGTACTTCAGCAGAGGTTTTCTATAGGAAACAACCTGTATAGCTATATATGGCAGCCCCGATTGTATGTGGCGGTCCAGGCCTTTGTCAGTAGTTGGAACAAAGCCCTTGGAGCCTGTGAGGCTACAGATTGACAACTCTTTCTGACTATAACTGACCTAGGAATAGACATAGACACTCCCTCAGAGTTTGGAGGGGAGAGATAGGTGCCACCTGACTAGGTGGTGGTCTTTCCCCTCTAACCCTCTGTCCTCCCCAGCCTTGCTGAAGATCCGTTCCAGTGAGGGCCAGTGTGCACAGCCATCCCGGTCCATACAGACCATCTGTCTGCCCCCAATGTATGGCGATGCTAATTTTGGCACAAGCTGTGAGATCACTGGCTTTGGAAAAGAGAGTTCCAGTAAGTGACATTTGGGGCTGACTGAAAGGGTCCTAGGGGAGTGTTGTGACCCAGAAGTGGGCCCAGCATGGTTAAGGGAAGACTGTGGAGTCAGAGATGAGAGCTTTATGGAGGTGGCAGATGGGTCTGGGTAGAGTGGGAGCGTTGTTTGGGGAGTATGGGCCATGAGAGTGAGTAGATGGGGCTGAAGGGCTATCACTGGGGTAAAGGCTCACATTTGGGTGGAAAAGAATAAGGGCCTTCCCTGGCAGAGACACTTTTTGGTTCGCCTCCCTGGCAGAGCACCCCGGTATACAGACATATCTTAACACAGATTCCTCCCTCTTTCCTCTACCTAGATGACTATCGCTATGCAGAGCAGCTGAAAATGACTGTTGTCAAGCTGGTTTCCCACCAGGAGTGCCAGCAGCCCCACTATTATGCCTCTGAAGTCACTACCAAAATGCTATGTGCCGCTGACCCACAGTGGGAAACAGATTCTTGCCAGGTGAGAGTTCTAAGCATCACTCTCCCTCACCCCCAAATCTCATAGAGCTCCAGGGCTCGTCCCTGCCAGCTTTGGGGATTCTCTCTTCAGCCAAAGCTCCAACTCACCACAATCAGGAGCTCAGGACTTCAGGGTTTTTAAACCATTTCTTATGTGTTTGCCAAACATTGTCACAAGCCCAGCTCTGTGCTAGGGACTTTAGACTGTCTGGCACTAAGACCATAGAAAGAGCCAGAGCGCAGTGGCTCGCACCTGTAACCTAGCACTCTGGGAGGCTGAGATAGGTGCATTGCTTGAGCTCAGGAGTTCAAGACCAGCTTGATCAAGAGTGAGACCCAGTCTCTACTAAAAATAGAGAAACTAGCCAGGCATTGTGGTGGGCGCCTGTAGTCCCAGCTATTCAGGAGGCTGAGGCAAGAGAATCACTTGAGCCCAAGAGTTTGAGGTTGTTGAAGTTTCTGTGAGCTATGCTGGTGCCACAGCACTCTACCCAGGGCAACAGAGAGAAACCCTGTTTCAAAAACAGAAAAAAGAGACACAGAGAGAGAGAAAGGAAGGAAGGAAGGAAAAAGAAAAGAAATATACAAAATATAGAAGGAGCCTGACAAAGTCCAGGGTGAGGAGTACAAGTGGGGCCTGGGAGCATAAATGCAACAGTGGCAGATGACAGGCTTTGAAGGCCACCAGAGGATTTTAAACTTGGTGTAGTAGGCAACAGGAGCACCTGAGGTTATTGACGCTAAGACACTCCCTCCTCTCTCTCGCAGGCATGGTTGGGGTGGTGGGGTCAGCAGGGTCCCTCCTCACTTCTTCAAGGGCTCATTTTTTGTGTCTTTGGTTTTCCAGGGAGACTCAGGGGGCCCCCTCGTCTGCTCTACCCAAGGCCGCCTGACTCTGACTGGGATTGTGAGCTGGGGCCGTGGATGTGCCTTGAAGGACAAGCCAGGCGTTTACACAAGGGTTTCCCGCTTCCTGCCCTGGATCCGTACTCACATGGGGAAAGAAAATGGCCTCTGAGGGCTCCCAGAGAGACGAGGGAGGAAACAGGGCACCACCTACTCCCTCGTTGACCGTCATTTTTGCAGTAGGGTCATCTCCATCAGCTGTAAGAATAGACTGGGGAAGATAGGCTCTGCAGAGATGGTTTTGCTTGCGTTGCCCACCAGGGTGAGCGACAGACAGTAGCTTTACCCTCAGTCACAGGCCTGGGTGCTGGCCACCCAGACCCCCCTGGCCAGGATGGAGAGGTGGTCCTGACTCAGGTTGGTACTGAACCAGTAGTTTGTCTTTTTCTAGACTAAAGCCTTCAGCGGCTAAAAATGGCATCTCTTGTGCACGGGTGGAAGGAGAGTCAGCTCCCCTAACAATGGGCATTCAGGAGGCCCATTGTTGAGAAATGAATAGTTTCCCAATTAGGAAGTGTAACAGCTGAGGTCTCTTAAGGGAGCTTGACCAATGTGAGAACAGCAGTTTGGGGAGCAGAGACACTAATGACTTGAGGGACCGGCTCTGACATGCCGTGAATGTTTTGCTATGAGGAAATATTATGTACGTGTGTGTGTTTTCACACTTGTGCACGGACTGTGAGTATAGGTGTAAGAGCTGGTATCTGATTGCAAGTCTAGATATTTCCCTAAACTGAACTGTGATGCCACACAGGATGGTCTGTCTGGAGATGTTATGGGTCACTCCTGGGGCCTCTTGGGTCCTCTACATGCCTATGAATGTTTTATTCTGGGGCATGACCTGTGACCAGCTCTGAATGGCTCATTGTCACACAGATGTTCCTTTCTTGGCCAGTTATCCCTTTTTACCTTTCAGCCTAATTCATCCAATCCTCACTGGGTGGGGTGAGGACCACTCCTATACACTGAATATTTAATAATGACATTCTGCTATTTTTATTTATATCTATTTTTATAATTGTAAATAAAACTGATCAATAAAATGTGATTTCTTTTCTGAGACTTTGGCTTCTCCCTGGTGCTTGTATGGGAGGGAGATGGGGAACTTAAAAAGGTAGAAAATGATAGGGGTGTCATGCACCTTAGAGTCTTGCAGGCCCGTATCTCTGGGCTTAATGGGGCTTCAGGAGGTAGCAGTTAGGATTGCTGTAGGACTGGGCCTCTGTAACACATAAGGTACAAAAAGGTGCCCCAAACCAGGGGCCCATGGCTTAGTGTGGGGTGCAGGCTGAGTTTCAGCTTCCAGTTGCCTTCTTAGCCCGATGCCTTTG